TTGTTCAGCTGCTTTTTCATACCATTCAACTGCTTTTTGTTCATCCTTTTCTACTCCAGTTCCATTGACATAACATAAAGCAAGATTATATTGAGCATGGGCATGTCCCTGTTCAGCTGCTTTTTCATACCATTCAATATCAACTGCTTTTCGTTCATCCTTTTCTACTCCAGTTCCATTATCATAACATAAAGCAAGATTAAATTGAGCACTGGCATCTCCCTTTTCGGCTGCTCCGTGGTATAACACACGTTTTATTCCGTTTTCCATTTTTGTATAAGCGGCATAAAAAAACTAGTACTTTGTATATTAATATCGAAAATCAGCTTTTACCAAATATACTCGATGTATATTAGTTATGTTCGACTAGGAAAAATATGCAAACATCCGAGATGTAGCGTAACGTGAGTTTGATTATTGCTGTTTATGTTTTCAAAATTCTAGAACCCCCCCCCCCCTCGTGACAGATCTCACCTCTGTCCTGCCGCGCGCCAATAAGATTTAACCTTTATCAAGGGTTACCAAATACTAATACGTTACTTGTATTACAAGGAAAAGCCACACTTGTTCGACCTTTGGTAGTCAGAAAAGCTAATATAAAAACCTGCGCTTCTAAGTTTTCTACTCTTCGGGGCTTTAACTGTGTTCTTATTACGTATACTTATTATTATGCCGTTAGGGCCGACATATACAGTAAAAGTCGTGCATAGTAATCAAGGTAAACAAGAGAAATCACTGGTAATCACTGGTAATCACCGTAACGTTAAAAACAGTCCGAGGCTTCAAAAGAGTTCGTTGTAGTAAACTCAGCTTCCGGCTTAAGTAAAAGTGACCACTGGAGCGGTTTGCTTTGGAAATCACTGAGTAACGGTTTGTACAAACCTTTGTTCGTGAGCGTAAGCGAGTAATCATAATTTGCAACATTTCGTGTGGTGATCGGCAAGAGGTTCTAGAATTTTGAAAACAGCAATAATTAGTATTAGGTGTAATCATATCCTTCTATTCTACCCCACGTCTATTTCTCACAAACATAAGAATAATAGAGAATTTCAACATCGCAATAAATTTTCACGTATGAACTAAATCAGGAAACACGAATATTACTGTGAGCTTTTTATTTGCAAATAAGATGTATCTGTCGTATGTAAATCCCGTCGCCATGTAAATCCCGGATTTACATATGTAAATGCGGTTTTGGGGTCCTTGACGGATTTACATAGTGACGGGATTTACATACAACATAATATAAACTTGTTTCTTTGTTAAGGTTTCTGTAATAATAAATCTATATACAAAACTATTTGCTAAAGAGTACTGTTTAAAGTTGAGAACTTTTATTTTTTGAGGTGTGATTTTTTTAAACTAGTATGATGAAGGCAATGTAAATCTATTACTATTACAAGACAAAAATTTTGCATAAATTGTAAATACCCCATGTTTGCAAGTCTACTCAGAAAGAGTTTGAGTCACTGAATTATATGGTATTGCAAATTGACTCATTCTTAATGACCAAGTCATACCTACAGCTGAAACCAAATCATAGTCATAGCTATTTCTCAATTTGGGTAAATCTCCAGTAGGTAAGAGCTTGCTGGAGAATTTACTCTCCTCAAATGGTGACAAGGGTTTTAGGTTATACATTACTATAACAAATGACATTTTATGTTGTCCTTGGACACCTTTTAAATAAACTTGCCAATATCTTTTTGAAGTGTGAGTTTGCATCAAGATATTTATCAGGATCAGCATCACAACACTGCTTAGCAAGTTTCTTGTGTTTTTCTGGTGTGGACTCAGATGTCAATGGTCATAATTTACCCATAATATCACATACTAACACTAGATCTCTGTCAAACTGCTTATCTCTAAAAGGTGGTTCACCAGTATACAGTAGGAATCAAGATCACAATGCACGATGAATATTACTCAGATAACATGCAATATTCTTCAAATGCCACAGTTTATCCATCCATGTCAATTTGTTAATATTTAGATTACCATTCTGTTTCAAACGCCATAATACGTTCAAGTCACATTCTTATTCTTAGCACATCAGATAACAAACATGTACTCATTTGTTTTTTGGGTCTTGTATGACTTCATAAATTTGAAGAAATACGTTGACCCCTTGTGCATTTGGCATTATTTCTGAATTAGTAAATAAAACAAAATATAGTGTTAAATTAAATATCGATTTAATTAATGCTCACTTACAAGCGTTGGTTGGTGTACATTCCAAGGCATAGTAGCATTACCTTGGCGGGGTAACAAGTAGTGAAATGGACGTTGCCATTTGAGTTGGCTTTATGCCAGTAATTGCATCGTAAGAACCCATACAGCTTTTTAAATAAAGAAGATTGATCCAAAAGTTGCTAAGTCAGCAAATTAAAAGAATTTTCTTTTCAAGTGAACAATGCTTGTGTTACATTTCTTTTTTTTGTAAATAAACATTAGTATTAGTCTCTTGACACGAATTTCTCCCATTATTAGATATACTATTGGTACTGCTGCACTGTGACATTTATTTATAACTTTGTCTTACAAGATTAAAACGCGTACTCAAGAAGCCGTTTTCAAATCAAAGATGCTAATCATAATAACGGAATTGTCTTTCTGATACTGCAAGGTTAATGAACGTATTGTTAATACGTTACGGAATTCATGGTGATCCACGTGTTTGGAACACCGGAATCGTTTTCTTTTTATGCGAGGTTCGTACACTGGTTCTTGCCCTATTCGTATAGTGAGTGTGAAATTATTTGTTAACCAAAGCAGGTCTGGAGAATATGCTGAAAGATGAGCGCTTCATAATTGTTAGTTATGGCAGATATTGATCAACATAATGAAAACTTTGCTTATTTATTTAGCAGTTCCCAGTTACGCAACTCATTAACATAATCGCGGCTCAAAAAAGTTTCAAGTGATGAAGTTTTTAAACTCTCGCCTGGTAAGATATTGATAATCTTCACATCATATTTTACTATCACATTTGTGTGAATTGGTTTACTACTATATCGGCTATAAACTTTCTTATACTGCTGTCTTCTACGTCAATATTTGACGAATTAGGAGTCAAGGTGATTGTCGCTTTTGGAGAGTCTAGCGTAATAATAATAGCATCCAACATGTCCTCCTTAATGACACAGGCTTCATCGATACCGACCTTGGAATGTATTCAGAGTAAGATTAAGATCTCGCTAATCATCGCAAAGATAGAACCGGACTTACTTCTGCAAATCTGTCAAGTATCTTGTCGACTCGTGCGTCACCCCAGAGAAATCTCTGGTAATTTACACCAATCTTTCCCTTGGCTAATAAAAATCTGTTGTTGTGCGTCATTAAATTGCCATTTAACGAGCCAACGAGTGAGTTGCCAACTACTTTCGGTCTGATTAATTTTGCCAGCTATTAGGAAATATGTAGGAGCGCATGTAAGATGAGTCGTATTTTAAAAAAATCAAGTATAATGAATATCTTACTGATTCACTGAGTGACGTTCTTTCGTATTGTGAGTTTATTGTTACATTATGTACGACCGAATACTCGTAAACTACAAGCCGCTGATGAGATAGTAATGTGTTACCATCAATTTCATTAACGTCAGAGGGAACAAGTACTGTCTTCGGGTGATATTGCCGAAGTATGGATTCTACTTCTTGCACAGAAAGCCTGATATCGAGCGGGATGATTTCTTGATTTATTTTCAATCCTTCAAAAGGGGAAAAGGCCTCTTTATAATCAACGTCAGAGTCTATAAATGAAAGATGACATGATGTTAGTTTCTGGCAATAATCATTCAAGTTATCCTAATTATACGTACCTGTGAATATAATCATATTCGCAGTGTTTTTGCCCCATTTCTTTAAAAATTCTACAGCAGCACCACTACGCAACGAAACGTGACCCGCAAAGACTATACATGGCTGTTTGTATATTTGACTCAAGGAACTGTCCACTCGAGCAACGTGAAACAGACGCTGTTTACTCATCAAAAGCTTATGAGTTGTTGGATTCTCTGCCGTGTATAATTTATCTTGATTCGATTTACACATCCTAGATAACAAGTAAAGTAAATATAAAGATTCGAGCAAATAACAACAGACTTTTGATACTAACCATTCTCCCAGAATATTTGAATATTTCAAAGATTCTTCCGCCATAGGAGATATTACAAACATTCTTACATGCCCACCAAGTCCTTTCGCTGACAATATTCTGTCAAGGTCTTCCACAAGATCAAGTATAATACCGTTAGAAGTACATGGAAATAGGACATTTCCATCATTATTAATTGTCCTCACTAAGTGTAGATGAAAGTTAATCAAATTGAATTCAAAGTATTAATTTAACAGCGAATATAACCCACTCACCGACACATTCTTCAATTTTGTCAAGCGCTTCCTCGTAAGAAAGATAGGTTTCGGTACGCAAGTCACTAAACAATATCACGCTCGCATTTTCAAAAACTGTTTTATCAAACGGAGCAGGATGAATAGTCTTTATCGTCGAGGATGACGAGATTATTGCAATCTAAATAAATAGCAAAATCAGCACTCAATAATTCCTTACCAAAAAAATCACACAAACACACAATACACACCTTCTCTTGGCCACAGTCAATAGCCCAATTAGCGCTTCCTAGACAATAACCCGAACTATAAGCAGTGATTCTCAAAGAGTCATACAACGACTTGTAAGGGTTAGAGAGAACATCCTGGTTGAATACAAGAAAAAAATCTATGCCATCAAGCCTCGCGCTCCCACCAGATGCTCGCAATATCGAATCGGTTGGATCTTATCTATACATGATTGGACATCTGCCGTCGTATAAAGTGTTCTCGATAGAGTTAGATCAAACGTTGATTCGTCTTGAAGTAACTTTCCGATACTTGTAATAAAAAGAGAAAGCTTTACCAGTGCACGCAGAAAAATAAGAATTACGGAATCAAAATGTGTGAAATGAGCTTACTTGGAATGCGATGGCGCGTGCCTGCTAGCTGCATCCGTTGACGAACTTTCACCAAAGTAATAAACCAGTTCATTCATAAGTTGTCTAAAAGCCACAGAACAAATTATAAGCATTAATACTCGACGAAACCGTATGCCCTCTTTTTGAATCCTAAACAGGGCTCACCGTCCAAATTCGATAGTCGGTTCAGTTGCATATATCTTGCCCATAAATTCGGTATATTCTGTAACGAAAGGCAAAGCGAGCATATGTCTATAACTAGAGATCAAAATAAAATCGACTGCTTTCCAATCAACGGACGAAAAATCTGGCGTCTGTACTAAAAATCGCCCTGCTTCAGCAAACGCGTCAAGTTTTCGGCGTTTACGCGAGCCGTTATCGTCTTCCGGGTTTTGAGGTCCAAATATGTCCAAGTCTATCGTTGTCCTGTGATCGATATCAGCACCATCGTCGTCGTCGCCGATGGTGTTGCGCGGCGGAAACTTTAACAAGGCCGATGTGTCGAGACCACAGTCGACTATAAAGTCCATTTGGCGGAGTTTAATGAGAAAGCAGTTTTTCTTTGGATTTTGGTTAAGGAAACGCTAGAAGAAGAGCGCGTTGACGATAATTAGTAGGCGATACATTAGGTAATAATATACTGAACAGCAGTTAGACGAGATGTTTTCCTAACCAATTTCATGTTTTAATCTTTTGCTCGTAGTAAACAGTGCAGTGAATTCCTGCATTTTGATTAGAATCTCATGTGATATAGCAAACGTTCAATTATTGGTTTATTAACGAGTCAGGGATCGATCATATGGTGGGAAAGCTGTACGAATGTTTCACAAGCGTCTACCCGAAATAGTGATCGTTTCTTTAAACAAAATACTTTGTCTTTTTGAATGCCTCGCTCACGTTCCCCAGGACGTCGCCGACGCTCGCACTCCTCTTCAAGACGGCGAATGCGCTCAACAAGCGCGGATCGTCGGAAAAACCGCCGTTCTCGATCCCGTTCTTCCGAACGCGACTATAGAGAAACTGGGCGACGAGGACGATCGAGATCTACCGAGAGATCGAAACCACCTTCATCACATACTATGCGCAGATCTACGTCGAGAGGAAGAAAGAGGTAAGGAAGAAGCCGTATGAAGATTGTGTGAGTATGCCCGCATAATAATTATGACATAACAGGACATGTGTATCATGTTGTTCAGATTGAATTCGGAAATTCTGAATGATAAAAAAAAAAAGCCAACTATATGCTAATTGCCATTAATCTATTATTAGGGACCATTCGCACCAAAAGTCTCGCGATTCATCTTCATATTCATCATCCTCATCAGATCGTAAACACTCATCACGCCGCAAACGTTCGAAACGGAAACGATCACTCTCAACGTCCGATTATTCAAGTGACGAGATTGCATCTCGTTCATCCTTATCAGAAGAGGATCACAAAAGACGGAAACGTCGTAGGAGAAAGGAAGAAAAACGAAAGGAGAGGAAGGGAAAGGATAGAAAGGTTGGGATTATGTACTAGTTTAAAAGCATTTGCCATGCAGAAGCCGAGTTGTGATTAATTTCCCTCCCTACTTAGAAAAAGAAAAAGAAGAAAGACAAATCAAAAACGCTTAAATATAAATGGGGAGCCTTTGGAGTGATATCAGAAGCAGAGTTTGTATTCGATCTGTTGTTTGTCTGTTGAATCCATGTCGTTTTTAAGATGGATTGGTCAAAATTTAATTTAATGTCTATTAACGTGCTTTTAGTATGAAATCGAAAGAAGAAGTAAGTCTTTTTGAATAGTGAGAGCCTGTTCAAGTATTATTTGATAATCTCTAATTTCGTCATTTCATTCCGTAGGAATTTAATCTATGGTTATTAGAAGTACAGAACCTTAATCCTGAAGCAGTCAGTCCTCCGCTTATGAAAGAACATTTTAAGCGATTTATTGAAGGTAGAAAGCAAATTTGTCTCGTCACAACCTTTTCGATATCGGTGAATGACGCCAATATCTTAATAACGCTGTGTTAATCTATTCACGTTCAGATTACAATACCGCAACATTACCCCACGTCAAATATTACAGCCTCGAAAAATGGGAAGCAGAGGAGCGAGCCAAGCGTTACAATACGTCTCGTGATCGAGTCGAAGAGGAAGGAACCACTTTTGATTTTGCAAAAGATGAAGAGGAGATACGGTAAGAGTGATATATGTTTTAATGGATGTAAGTTTCAAAGGATTCAATTCTCAACGCGTAATCATAATCGATACTCTAGGAAGATGCATCGACAATGGTCGAATGTTCCTCCGCCTACAGGGCCTTTATACACAAAAGAACAACTGCTGGAGGTGAGGCGTGTTACGGCCGAGCGTATTCAGGCAGAAAAATTGAGAAAGATGGGATTCACTCCTAAAGAGAGCATGGGAGTAAGATATGAATGAATGACAGAATGCATGAATGACAGAATGAACGTATGAATGATAGAATGTATGAATGCGAGTTCATATGTTCCCAACGTTAAATTAAAAAAAGTGAACCAGTATACGGGGCTTGTTTAATTATTTCTTTCTAAATTTATGCGATGCATAATAAAAATTCTTAGGCCGGGCGATTTCGAAAAAATATACACCCTTTTGCTGATTAACAATATGCTATTTTAATAAAGCTGTACAGTTGCTGAATGTTTCTAACATACACTCTAAAATAACAAAACTGGCGGCACGGCATATAGACAAACTGCCCTTATTGACGATACGCAAAGATCGTGTAATCTTGTGTAGCCATATGACCCATCATTGGATACTGTCCAGCCAACAGAGTAGGTCCTTTTACTTGTATTTCGATCGGATTCAAGCCCGAACGCAGAACAACATCAAACTTTGTGTGTCCTATTGTCGGTGCATTGGGGTAATGAACAGCGCCAGAAGGTCGTAATATCTCTCCACAAATGCGAAGAGCTATGCTCACGGGTTTGGGTGACGGCAGAAGGAGAGGTGTGGCGAGGATTGGAATTATGGTGAGTTGGTCAACGTCTTTTGTAAAGTACATGCTGTGATGAAAGTGTACAGTATCGAGAGACATTGCCTTTGAGCGAGTAAGTGTCTCGATGCCTATGCCTTGTAATAATGGGGTTTCTGCGCGTCATGTGTGGAGAGGAAAACAACGGTCAGACAATATGAATGAAATCAGAATACAGTTTCCGTGCGCGTTACATACCTTTCTGCGACAACAAGGACAAACTGCTTGGCAAACCGGTCGAAAGAAATAGCGGTTGCTGAAGAAAAGGCGACGGCATAACCAAGTCAACGTTTCTTAATTGAGATGCAGTACTTTTCATTCCAAGTTCACTCGAAACGTTCCTGCTCATTTCGATGTTCTCTAATTGTTGCTGTTGAGCCGCTACTCGCGCTCTCTCACTGGCTCTTGTGACTTTTGGTGTCGGTGATATATCCCTATGCCCACCTAGTTTGAGTTTAATTAAAGTCTGCGGAGCATTTACGGACGATCCTGATTTCATCCTTCGGGCCCTATATATTTCGAGCGGAGGGTATTCAGGAGGAACCAGTTTCGTCCTGTATACGGGATGTTCGTCTATGGACACTTCTCGTTTCACGCTCGAAGATCTCGATCTGACTGTGCGAAGTTTTTTGAAATGAGTGTCCAATTTCACCGACACATGGGGAGTGAACCGGATGATTTCCAGCCAGGGTAATTCGAGTCTTTTGAATTCGACTTGCTTCCTTATTTTCGTGTAGATTCGTCGACAGACGTAAACATTTTCTGCCGTAAATCCTCGCGGATGCACTGCGTTTTACGAGTCAAGCGTTAGCTCGAGAAAAGTAATCATTTCAGAATCACACAAGTCACGTATTTCGATGCCTACAGTTTACGTAATCCGCCCTGCTCATTATATAGCATTTGCCAGTGATATATTCAATCGGACACTCTTCACAATTCTGCATCATGAACACTTCTTGCTTACACAACTCGTAGTCTTCAGGTACTGGCACCTGCAAAAAAAAAGTCCCATGATTAAGAAATTCATCATAAGCGTTTTTATTCGCTCCTGGATTCATACCTGATGTGGCTGCTTGAAGATGCGTCCATATATAAACGTGTTGCTAAAAGGCCAATTGTTACTACAAAATGAGCGTGTCAGCCATGCGCAAAATGCAAGACCGTTTTACGCAATAACAAATTCTAATTACCCTTCCGTTCTGTATATTGTTTGTATCAGGAGGATATCGCCGTCATTGCCAATGTAAACAAAATCGCCTGCATATCCGTTAATATTCGAATGACATTGACAATCACGAATGGATTACGAGATACATACCTCGGTAATATGTATCACCTGACCATCGAATTACATTAAAGTCATCGAAATCAGCTGGAACATCGATCTAGAAAAGTGAAAAATGAGCAAATATTACAGACACTTTAACGTCGGATATGATTTACGCTAATACCTGTGGTTTGCCAGGATACAAATATTCCTTTTCGAATTCAACTAACGATCGTTTGTAGCATTCAAATATGACCTAGAAAACAGAATTTGAGTACCAAGATTTACATTGAAAATGATCCAAGAATATGGGTAATTCATTTACCTTTAAAGCTCTTGCACTGGTTTCGGCTCCTGGTATAATTCTGTTGACTTTTATTCCATTATTAAAGACCTTTTCGACATCTGATACGAAATCTAGCACCGATGTGTACGTGAGTAAACGTTCCTATAATTCGAAATGGTGTCATTTATGAGCAAAAAGTGCTCGGATAAAGAAGTAACACGCTAATAAAGATTTCTCACTCTTATTCGGGGAAGAGTATCTGCATATTCGACTGCAGAATAGTATTCCGGACAAGCGTTTTTATCAGGTAACTCCATGAACGGCTCACACAACAGCTGCCCACTGAATCATGAAGAGTTAACAATATCAATAATAATCAAAAAATTATGCATATCTCCGCAGAAATACATACTTTGCGTCCTTTGAACTTTCTATCGCATCAAGAATACGTTCCATTCGCTTTACAGCCACGGCTTTACAGTACTTTGACCGCTCGGCCTCATCTTCAATTGATGTAGGATTAGTGATGAAATTTTCAGGCAGTAATGGCTGTCTCAGTCTCTCTCCATCAGAAGAAGTTGGTGTGCTTAGTGAATCAGGTGCGGTTGAAAGCGATGTTCCGTAAACAAGATAATTTCTCGCTATTTCTTGCTGTTTTATCACGCGGTATACAGTCATTAACATGCGTAATTTGCTTATACGTGTGAGATTGAAAACAAACAATAGACCATACCGGATCACGAAGAAAATCCCATTGCGGATGTGACGAGTGTTCAGCCAAATCAAGTGCTGTCTGGCCGTACATATTTTTGGCCTTTGGATTTGCTCCATACACTTCAACCAACAACCGTGCCAATTCGACATTACCTAGAGTAGTTCGAGTATAAAAGAGATTTGTGGATCACTCCTCAGTACATTAATAATAAAAAGAAAAAGAATCTGAGAGGATTAACTAATTGCATCAACCTAGGTAAGTGCCTGTATTGCCGCATACCTCCATATGTGGCCCAAGCTAAAGCAGTAGCTCCATACCAAGTGTCTTGTACGTCTACGTTGGCATCCCTATTCATCAGTAAACCCAAGATCTGCATGCGACCGTAATAAGATGCACAATGTAAAGGAGTCCATGTAAATTTGTCCCCGTTGTATTCTGTATCCCACAGAGCATTAACATCAAAGTCGGGATTGTCTTGAAGAAAATTTCTTGCCCCGTCCACGTCGTCTGATTCTATTGCCTTAAAAAGCTCTACGATTTGTTTGAAATTAAAACAGCATAAGGAACTGGCCCCCATTTGCATAATTTGTACAACAACCAGACAATTTGAATTCGCGCCAAGACGTACTTTTCGCGAGTTCATTGTTTTTCCCAGTCTGAATGACAATTGTTGATTTTGGTTTGATAGTTGCTTTGAATTCCGCGACTCTTTTTTTAACCAATTCCTATGAAGAAACATCTGTACTCATAAGTCATACAACTTATTATATTAGATCTTTCAAAAAATTACACCTTCCTCAATTTAGTCTCAATATAGTACTGTACCTGCAATGTCTGCGAATCCTGGTATACGAGAGACTCCTTCAAGTTATAGGTTTGGGCGTTTAAAAACATCTGATCACAATCCGCCCCAAATTCATCGAGCGACTTGTACTGTCTCTTTGTAATCTTTGCCTTG